CACCAAAAAAAAAAAAAAAAAAAAAGGTGAACTCAACTGTGGTTATGTCAGCATGCTCAACCGCCTGCAAAAGCTAGCCACCTCCTGGCTTCAGGAAGCAGAGAACAACATGCCGTGTGTGCTTCCTCAGACGAGAGGCATTGGTTATACTGGCAAGTTTACAGACAGTAAATAGCACCATTAAAAGAACATAAAACACTGTCTTAAAATGATCATGTTGCAGGTAATTTAATAGAGTGTATCATGTCAGTTTCTGTTTGTGGGGAAGTAATAAGCAATTAAAATCTGTCCTGATTCATCTCTAACTGGCAGCCTAAGTGAGAACAAAGCCAGCTCCCTCTGAGCGCGTGTCTGGCAGGCTGCTGCACAGCGCGTGCTCGCGGGACGCAGGCGTGCACAAAATCATCTCGCACAGCCTCGGTCAAACAAATGCCTGGAGGGGCGATCCCCTTTATCCACGCACCCCGAAACCTCCATTCCTTCCTTCTTCACCACGTTCTTACCAGCGAGGGAGGACTAATCTCTGGTTAAGAGACAATAGTCATAGGAAACTGCTATGGACTGGATGTTTGTGTCTTTCCAAAATTCCTATGTTGAAGCCCTGACCCCCCCCAATGTGATGGTATTTGGAGATGGGCCCTTTGGGAGGTGATTAGGGTTAGACGAGGTCGTGAAGATGGAGACCCCATGATGGGATTAGTACCCTTATAAGAGGAGACACCCAAGAGCTCTCCCTCTCTAGGTCTCCACGCATGCACACATAAAGAGGCCACCTACAAATTAGGAAGAGAGCTCTCACCAGAACTCAACCATGCCAACACCCTAATCTTGGACTTTCATCCTCCAGAACGGTGAGAAAACCATTTGTATTGTTTAAGCCACCCAGTCTACGGTTTTGGTTATGGCAGCCCAAGCTAATACAGAAAGCAATTACTCTCTTTGAACTAAGAAACAGTTCAAGTAGGAAGCATCTGAATTAGATTCAGAAACTTCCTGACTCCTGGAACTATCTAAAATAGAAAGAAAAAGAACAAAAATTGGTTGACATAGATTTTAAAGGGGAAAAAAAATCGAGATAGAGATGGAAAAAAACCTCAAAAAGTTTCATCTTCTTAGCTTCTGCCAAAACATGTAAGACTCTATCTTGCTTTCTAAACATCAAGAAATAGGAAAGCAGGTGAGGCCTCTAAATGACCCTTGACCTCAACGACCTACTTAAATTTCTTAGAAAACTAAATATAACCATAATACTCTGATCACAGATTGAATACCTAGAAAATGTCAATCACTCAAGGTACCTTATAACACTCAGCAACACAGCAAACATACAATTATCCCCATTTGACAGACGAGGCAACTGAGGTTCAGAGAAGTTACGAGACTTGCCCAGGGGCTCTGCAGCTAGTGACAGAAGAAGAAGGAGAAGCTAACTGGGACCCTGACTCTCAGTCCACGTTCTCTCTACTTTTCTAGGTTTCTCAAGCCTGATTCACACATAGACCCTTTTAAAAGAAGAAAATTACCATGAACCCCACAGACTATATTCCTGTGCATCTTACATGTCCTGGGGCCATCCTGGCTGCTCAATAAGAAATCACATCAACAAAGAGCATCTCCTCGTTCTGACCCTGCTTTCAAAAGCTCCCCTAACACATCAGGGGCAAAGAGGACGGTACAGCCCTCGCCATTTTTGGGGTGTCTTCACGCCGGGCTCTCCCCCTCCAAATTGGCTTCCAAAGCCCCATCGATTATTTGGCTCCCGGAAGGCAGACTTGGCTGGTTCCTTCCTTCCCTGTAGACATACCCGACGTTTTATTCAGTGAATTCATTCGACAAGTATTCACTGAGCACCGGTATGTGCCAGGCACTGGGGAGACAGCAGTGAACGAGGCAGACTTTCAGTTAGAGGAGCTTATAAAGTCCTCTCATCTAAGGTCTGAATGAAGGGAGGGAGGGGCGGCAGCAACAGGCGGAAAAACAGCATTCCCAAGAAGGGACGCGCTGAGCAAGCCCGTGGAACAGAGGGGAGACCAACGTGCCGGAGGCTAAGAAAAGAGCGGAGTGTTTTAGGGTTAGCTGGAGAAGGAGCTGATCGCAATGGCCTTCCATTCACCACTGAGGACGGCCAGTCCTCGCCTGGGACAGCCCGACTCACCGAGGACCTCAGGAAGCCACGGCCCCCTTCCGTGATTGTCTGCCGTTCTAGCATTTCCTTTCACCCATTCTTCGCTGAAGCTAGATTCAACATCAGCACCCACGTGCCCCCTTGACAGCCGTGTGTGTGAAGTGGGGTGGCTCCTCTCCCTCTCTCTATCCTCCCCGCCCCAAGCTATTTCCTCTGATGCCGGACAGACACGGAGAGCACAATGACTCCCGAGTTCCACTGTGTCCACTGGTGGACACATAAAGGCAGCACCTTTTCCTCAAGCTCTTGAAGACTGCCTTCCTAGCTACTTTCCATTACCTCTATTTGCACTCAACAGTTGAGAAATATTGTGCACCAAAAAAAGTAGAAAGAATAAGTAAAACTAAAGGAAAAACCATGATTATTTGTAGCCACGGTGGCGGTGTTAGTGGGGGCGCACTGACGGGGTATGGAGAGCAGGGTGCACTCACACAGCTTAGCTCAAAGAACACCCGAAGCCTCTATCACCTCCCCTCCTCTCCACCCTTCCAACTCAACTTCTCACCATCAGTGGATGCTGTACACTTTTCATTTATTTAAGGATGTTTGGGAACAAGGAAAACAGACTAATATTTTCTAGCAAGTCTGAAATTTTATTCCCACCTGTATTTCACTTAAGGAAATAGTGCCACCATATAAGTTTTACAAGTCACACTAGGTCTGGAAATTAATTTACACACACCCAAAGTACTGGGTTGTGTTCCCATGTGTCAAACATGGGTAATAACTACCTCCCTGGGTGTTGTTCTGCTGAATGAGGTAACAGAATCCAATTTTCATCTTGTAACTACTGCATCCGAGGGACGAAAAGTCACACTGGAAGTGTCCTTTCGCCTTTTATTTTCTTTGTCCCATTCATAACCTTTCTTGCTGACAATCTAAACACTGGGAAAATAACTTCCAGATGATGATGCCTCTCCCAAAGTCTTTAATGACACCCAAGAACTCTTCAGTGAAATGGACAACTCATGTCCAGAAAATTACTAAGACAAGTAAACACAATTTATCCTTATCTTGTAAAGATAACACATTATCTAAGAAAAGAGAGCTCTCACATGCAAATGTTTCCAAAGTTTCTACCATGATACTTTCCATTTTTGCTTTTGAGTACGAGTGCCATGATTTCACAGGAAAGGAATATCTCAGAGAACCTAAGAAGCTACTAGGAATCCTTTGCTTTGCTATAAATTTTTACACTGGCAAATATATGTTTCTCCTAAAATTTATAAAGCAATTAGATACTAAGATTTATACACCCAACTTTCCACACAGAGTAAATTTCTCCTGCTAGACTATGAATCCTAAGGCAAACGTGAGCTTAGGTCTCTCCTCACAACACTGACAAGTCTTTTGTTTGCATCATAGTCCAGAATTACTCAGGGTGTAATGGCTTTCTTGGCGGCTTCTCAAAATGTTGACAATAATAATACTCGTAAGATACCATGTTACATGTCTATATGCCTGTCAAATTCAACACAAGTGCAAACACATGAGATACAGAACCAGGAAGTTTTTTCAATTAAAGCCCTTGAGTGACAGAAAAAGGAAATACAACTCCTAAGCTTCATGGACTCAAGACTTACACTGCCAACTAATGTGGGAGGAAAAATCTCAGGCAGTTTTAATAAAGCAAAGAGCCAAGTCCTTGCTTCCAATATACCTGTGAAATTGACCAAAATGAAGATCAGCAATTTCTGGAAGAAATGAATAGTCTTCCTTGGTATCTTTAATTCCATAAGAAGCCAACCTTTTTGCTCTGAGGCGACCCATCAAAAGGTTGGTAAGACCAGTAAGGGGCAGCAGGGGGATGGGATGGTATGGGCAAGGGACCTGGGATCTGAATTGCAGTGCATCCCCCCTATAAACTGGGGGACCTTGGACAAGCAGCTTAACCCCAGTCTCAATTTTCTCTGCTGTAAAAGGAAATAGTCACATCAAACATGGAGCACTTTTTTGGAATCAAAATACACAATACAGCAGATGTAAAATCACCTGGCACATAGTAAACATTCAAGAATGGTTATTTTGTAAACACTGAGATTTTTGCCCAGTTAGGTATGTCAGAAAGCATAATGCACTATTCTATCCAGTTAAGTCTGTGGAAAGTCATCTGACAGTGTATTTGAAGCTAATTAAAATCTATGATGCGCCAGAAAAAAAGCATGATGATTTTCTCTTTGCTATTTCCAGGTCAGAACAGATTACACAATGGTAAACATTTGGTCTGTATATTCAGATGGATGGGTGGATAGATGGATGGATGGGTGAGTGGATGGATGGAGATGGATATGGATATGGATATGGATGGATGGATGGATGGACATGGTTGAATGGATAGATGGATGATGGATATGGATGGATGGATAAATAAACAAATGGATGGATGGGTGGGTGGATGGATGGATAGATTGATGGATACGGACAGATGGATGATGGATAAGGATGGATAAATGAATAAATGGATAGATGGGTGGGTGAATGGATGGATATGGATATGGATTGATGGGTGGATGGATGGATGGATGGATGGAGGGAGGGAGAGATATGGATGGGTGGGTGGATGGATGCAGGATGAATGGATGGATGGATGGATGCATGCATGCATGGACAGACAGATGGAGATTTTGGAACCTACTTGCAAGACCATCAAAGTCCCTAAAGAAAAAGGGAGAATATGACCAAGTCCCAATCTATTGTGTCTTTCATTTCTGAACCAGTGATTCCAACCGAACTAGATCAACTTCTCCACAGCCTCCAACACGACTTTCTCCTTTAAGAGCACTATTAATTGAGGTCTTGGGTTTTATTCCTTATAGGAAGCATTCTGAAGTTAAAACGCTTACTATTCACATATTCAGATGTCAAAGATACCACAGAGCTAATAAATTTTCCAGAGACACATTCAGGAGAATATCACATCTTTTTCTGAAATACTTTGCAGCAGCAAAACCTTCGGCCCTTACCTGAAGGTGGGTCCATTCTGTATTTATTCTCTTGACACCAACCAACTGGTCGAAGTCTGTAATCCAAGTAAAACAACCACTGGTCATAGGATTCAGTGTCCTCCAATCCCACATAGCGAAGGCGTAATCTTCCTCCAACATTTTGAATCACACTAACTATCCAGTACTGAAAAGGGTTCTGAGAATCCTGAAGTTCTATTAAGGAATCAACTGTAATGAGGTCTATAGGGCCTTTCCCTCGCAGAGGCTGTTTAAACAGAAGCAAAACTCCTTATTTTAAACTTTATTTTAAGGTTCTCATGGAAACAGATGACAGCAGAAGATAATATTTTTTCACACCATCATCCAAGCTATTGGCAAACAGTCTGGTGTTTCCCCCACCCCCATCCTCTCCACCACCACTGCCCCCTCCCCCTTCCCTCTCCCCCCACACACACTTCCATTTTACCCAACTCTGAACCCAACAACAAAAATCACAAGTAAATAGAAAATAACAGTTTGTGCTAAGTTCTCCCCAAACAAATCACCCTTCCCAGATAAAATTGCATTTGTTAGAAATTAGTATGCTTTTAAGAAGAGTTATACCCAAATTTGCCTCGAGCTAGAAAACATGTGGTAGCGAAATGTGTACTTTTCCAATAGACAGATATATCTAATATGGGGCTATAAATTTATACCATGACTTAACAGGTATTTATCTTACAATGGCCACCACTGTAATAACCAAGACCCTCTCATACTTTGATGATCTGAGTCAAGCACAAATATGCGTAGATGACATGCCTAATACACATTAATGATCAGCTAAATGAGACTAGTATGTAAAGGTATTGCTATTGTTTTACCCAATAGTTGGTCTAGAGAATATATATAATTACTGCCCCATCTAAGCACCTTCTTAGCATATGAAAAGGGTGTTTATTCAGCCAGCCTGGTAGGCAAATATGTTTAAAAAAACCTAACAGAGTAAGACAACGTGTCCTTTTGAAGAGTGAACAACCATCATTTTGATTTGTTAACCAAACAATTAAATTAGTGGCCATTAAGATAAACAAATACATCAGACAAAATCTTCACAAAACAAAACCCAATATCTGTATATTAGACGGTGGTGTTCCAGAGTATTAATATCTTTTCTGAGAGCATGGAAACTTATGGTTAATGTTAAGAGAATAATGATATTGTTAAAATCCACACCGTATTTCTTGTTATTCATTGCGTTTTCCTCTTTTTCGGGGGCATTGTTCAGACTTGGTAACAATCATTATTTATGACACAGTACATTTCTCTTCCTGTTCTACTATATATAGTACATATCAAGATGTTTTATCATGAAATTATTTTCAAATGAACCACCAAGATTGCAGGTGAAACTATTTTTGATTCAAAAATCTTAAAATTGCCTTAACCACATTTAAAAATGGTTAGCCGTTTTTCCTCTTGTTTTTTAAGGGAGGTTATTCAATTATTACTTAACATGTGTGTGATTAAATCTTGGGGTTATGCACCTGGAACAGAATTGTTAATGGAACCATTTATCCATATACTCCGAGATGCTACTAGAGCACATAGATGCTTAGTTATCACTTACACAAAACAGTTATTCTACATTTTATTTTACATTCACTAATATAGGACAGAAGCTTAAACATACAGGATAGTGGGAAGATATTCTAACATATTATTATTTAAAAATGTTTTCACGCAGAAACAAATTTCCTATTTATTGATTGTACCACAGGTGAAGATTACCCAATGCCATTAGAATCAGTAACCTAAGGAAAAACAGGAAGTTAAGCTCTTTGGATATAAATATCTGTGTGTACTCATGTACCTGCAGAAGGATATATGCAAAGGTGCCATTAGGTTTGAGATCACGTAACTGTGATGCTTCAGACATAGAAAAGCTGTGTAACAACAATACATACTCCTTCTAGGAGGTTGGCGGGTGCCGTCCGGGAACTAGTCAGATCTCGAATAAGAAATTCTGTCCAGTCCGTGTACTTCTCTTTGATTGCTGGCGAGACAAAGGAGAAAAAGCATACTTCAACACAGCAGTGGAGTATAAAATAAATTTAAAATCACAGCACTTTTCTGAAGATAGGTGCTATTTCAATACTCTTCTTAATTTTACGCACCGTGCTTAAACTAAGTACTAAAATTGCAACAACAAACCTGTCAACAATGGGTGACGTCACACCTACCACGTGCCGAGATTTTGCTTGGCATCAAGGGGATTAAAGAATGAGGTCCTGAAGTTTTACAACCTGTTTAGAAACTTCTGTGAACAACGAAGATATTATAAGGTATGTCATTCATGAGGTTCCCAGAAGACAGAGATCAATGGGGGCTGGAAAAATCAAGAGAAAGTTTTCCAGGTGGGAAAATAAAACCAGGCTCTGAATTATATAAAAGGTTTAAACAGGGAGAGAAGAGGAGGAAAGGATTTCCAGACCAACAGGAACAGCAAATGCTAACAAGAGTGATGGAGCGAGGGAGGAAATGGAAAACGACACTGCAGAAATTGGTCGGGTATGGCAGTCTGAGCACAGAACGCTGGGAAATAACGTTAAGTGGCAGGAACAAAATTAGGGACAGCCCAGCAAGTCCACATAGATGTTTAATAAACAGGAAATTTCTGCATAAAATGAATCTGGCAATAGAAAAAAAGTTTAAACAGAGACAAAAGCAGGTAATGGCAGGAAAACCAATGTAGAAGCTACTTAGTTAACTACGTACAAAAGTGACAGGGCCCAAAACAGAAGTGATGGCTCCATAAGCAAGGAAGGGATGCATCTGAGACACCTTTTGAAAAAAGGAATGTCACACCTGGGAGGCCGACATTCTCTAAGTGCTTAGAACCCAAGACCTGAGAAAAATGCAACCTCTTGGCAGATCTCCCCAAACTAAAGATCTCCAAAGGCTTCCCTAGGTCTCATCCATATTCAGGAGAGGCCCTGAGCCTTCCCAGGGCACCACAGGATCAAAAAATCAGGAGAGCAGCAGGCATGGCCCACATTCCCATCCACCCACACTGTGATTCTGACCTTGACATCCCATGAACGGCGGGCCCTCAAGCACTGCCTAGGATACATCCCATTCGTAGCCTTCCTGAAAGGTTCAAGACTCAGTTGGTTTGTACATTGTTTAGGTGCTTCAAAGGCACGATGCCACTGTTCCTAGCTCAAACCTACAGGGACAGAATTAGTACAACAGGCAACTGGACCATAATGGTGTGGTGGGAACTGCCAGGTCATGGCGTGCAGAAGATCTCAGCTCCCTGGTAGGCTCTGCCATCACCGGCTATGTGACTTGGAGTGATTTACTCAATTTCTCTTATACTCTATCCATGTCAGTATAATGGCGTTAACAACATTTTGCTTACGGGCGTGCTATAAAGATTAAAGAAGATGCATATGTCAATAAAATATAACCATACCTGACACACTCTAAGCAATTAATAAATATAGGCTCTTGTTTTCTTATAAGTATATATTAAATGATTACACATTCTCACCAGTTATTTATTACTCATTTCTGCCAATTCCAGATTGAAACTTTCAACACGCTTTGGCAGAACTGCCAGAATGGGGAACAGTGGCAGCTCCTGTGACTTCAATCACTAACCTGCATCTCAGTCAATATCCCCCCATCGCCTGTTAACGATCAAAAGACCGAGAGAAAAACCACAATGGAAGGGACTCAGGCAAGGCTGGGCAGTCCAGCTTTAAGTTGTACCACAGTGTCCTAGTAACAAACAGAGACTCGCCCACTCATCTTTCACCACTAGATTTTTTTCTCAGATAAAATAGCAGCTTCCTTATTTGATACGTATATACCCACATGGAAATGCACACATTTGGGGCAAAAACTGTTCTTGTGTTCTTTTCCATCATTAGCAAGTGCAGCAATCATTTTTCAACGCTATACCCATTTTTGAATCAGCCCTTGCTGTGGACTGAATGTTTGTGTCCCCCCAAAATTCTTATGTTGAAACCTAATCCCCCAGCGTGATGGTATTAGGAGGTGGGACCGTTGGGAGGTAATTAGGTTTAGATAAGGTGATGAGGATGGAGTCCTCATGGACAGATCAGTGTCCCTATAAAAGAGACCCAAGAGGCTGGCCGTGTGGCGTAGTGGCTAAGTTCGGCGCTCTCCGCTTCAGGGGCCCAGGTTTGTGGGTTCAGATCCCAGGTGCAGACCTACACCACTCGTCAGTCATGCTGTGGCAGTGACCCACATACAAAGTAGAGGAAGACTAGCACAGATGTTAGCTCAGGGCCAATCTTCCTCAACAACAACATCAACAACAAAAAGAGACCCCAGAGAGCTCCCCTGCCCCATGCATCACGTGAGGACACAGGGAGAAGACCACCCTCTATGAGCCAGAGCCAGGAAGCAGGTTCTCACCCGATACAGGATGTGCCCACACCTTGATCTTGGACTTCCAGCCTCCAGAACTGTGAGAAATAAATGTCTGTTGTTTATAAGCCACCCAATGTGTGGTATTTTTGTTATAGCAGCTCAAACGGACTAAGACAATCCTCCTACATGCCTAACATTACTGAGAAGACCAACAGCAATGGCATACCAGATAAATTAATTAAAATTTGTATTCATCTTATGCTTTATAAACAGCTTTCACTTACTTCATCTCTTTTGATCATCCTAACAACGTTACGAGCTGGTTTTTCTTTTTTTTTCTTTTTTTTAATTTTATTTATTTTTTCCCCCAAAGCCCCAGTAGATAGTTGTATGTCATAGCTGCACATCCTTCTAGTTGCTGTATGTGGGACACGGCCTCAGCATGGCTGGAGAAGCAGTGCGTCGGTGCACGCCCGGGATCCGAACCCAGGCCGCCAGCAGCGGAGCGCGAGCACTTAACTGCTAAGCCACGGGGCCAGCCCCGAGCTGGTTTTTCTTAACTAACTTTTGCCCAAGTTCATAGAGAAAACTAAGGGTAGAGCCAGCCTCAAATCCAAGAATTTGGACCCTAATCTTACATGGAATCTTTCCACTATGATCTATGACTCTCAGAAGCTTTTCATATAGATAAATCAATAATTTAAGTTGTAGGCCTGATAGAGATAATATAAAAATGACTATCTACACAAAAGTTTCAAGATGAGGACAAAATATACAAGTATACCAAATAAACAGGCATTTCATATTTCATCACAAAAGGATGACAATCAGCCCAGTCAAGCAATAAATGGTCTTGTGTTTGACAGAACTGATGTCTATATCCACTGAGAAGAAAGTTCAATTTTCTACTTAAGAGTGGTTTCTAACATCCATATAATCAAAGTTAACATTTAAGTTAAAATGTTTCAAATATGCAAGCACGCTATAAAGACATTGCACAATGTTGAAATTTAAATGGTCTGAGTTATAGGAAGAGAACATTGCAGATGACTCTGAAATTTACATCTTGTGTGCCCTCCGTTCCAGAGGTCCCATAACTGTCCATTAATATGCTCTGCACCAGACTCAGAAGCAATCTTTTATGGACCAAAGAATATCTACACAAATTACTCTCCATGGAAAATGTATCTTAGTTGTAAAGGTACACCAACCATTTTAGGTTCAAAAATAGAAAATAAACAGTTCTCAGGAATACTGGTAACTTTAAAAGAAAAACTGTTTTTTTCTTTTCGTTGACCTTTAGTTCTCAAAACTCTAAATTTTCAAATGTAAAATCTATTACAATAAGTATCGCCACATGTAAACAACTATGCATTACAAATTTACAATTCGCAGTCAAGAGACTTATTTTAAACAATATTCAATTCAGTTAAATCCTAGTATAATAAAACTTGCCTGGAAATTCCTTGGAGTTAATGCAATACAAGCTGAACTGGATTTTTCTATGTGTCCACTAAACTTCTAACTGGAAAATTTTAAAACTATAAATTTTTATTTACTACAGAACGTCTCTCTTCAAAGCCTCAAAATCAAGGAGTATGGACATACAAACGATCTCTCTCAAATGTAAACCAATTCCTTGTCCTATGCTCATTATCTTTTTCTTCAAATTGAAGGACTGGTCCACACACTAAATTTCAGAAAACCCACAACCTGCCCTACGCCTAACTACAACATCAAACATGAACTCCACGGCAGGAAAGAAATGATTTTTCAAAAATCTGTAATTTCAGGTGGAGGAAAGTTTATCCACAATTTGGTAATCATTTTCCTGTGTTTTTAATTTATAGAGAGAAACTCTTAGAAGTCCCTAAGAAGAATAAAATCAGAATCTTTTTATAAGCTTCTCATGAACATAATTTCAAGGTTCTATTAGTTACAACATTATAAACACTCAACTTTACTTTTTCAAAAATCCAAGCTACATTCCCCCTCCACATCTCACTGAAGGAAGCAATCATGAATATGAGTTTCAGAAAAAGAAAATACACACATATATTTCTATGAAGACATTTAGAGACGGCCCCGAAACCCCTCAACAGCTTTATTAGGATTAGAAAGCTGTCTATAAAAAGAATTCCAAATGAAAGCCAGAAGATTGCCATCAATTTTTCATAATTTGGGAAACCACCACTCTTACTGGATTTCCAGGCCCATCAAGCACATGTAAACACAGAGAGTTGTAAGATTCGTCACTTCTCAAGGACATCATTTCCCGTGGACACTGGTCTGTGGGTACAAAGCCGCCCATCAGAGCTGTCCATTCAGGCGAGTCCTGAGCACTGAGACCTGGGCTGGGGTCCATGGACACCCTCCTCATCTCTCCTTACATGTCACCACGTCAAACAGGTCCACGGAGAAGACCAGCTGCACACACCTTTCCCCTCATTTCAAAGATGGGAGAATAATTACAATGAACAGTGAGGCCACTTTCACTCAAACACACTCTAGGCAAAAGAAAAGGGGTTTTTGTCATATTCCTACATCCTAGAGTTTAACCACACAGAGGATTTTCTGTTGTTCTTTCTGGCAATTTTCTCAACTCACTTTCAACCAACACTTCTTTGAATTTATTTTCTCGTCGTATTTTTA